CTGACTTCACCGGGAGCTCGACAGCTGAAAATGAAAGTGATACGGCGTCATGTAGTGAATATGTGTGTGTGTGTGTGTGTGTGTGTGTGTGTCCGTTCGCGTTCACCTCTGTATAAAAGTATGTCCGTGTGAGTGTTTGCCTGTGCATTCATGTGTATGCGTTTCTACGCCTGTCTCGATATGTTTGCCCTTTTTTGTGTGTGCTGAGTGTGTTCAGGGTTTGCACGGACATATACTGTGAGCCATGCACTTCTTGAAGTCAAAATGTGGCAACCAGCTGCCATAAAACGCAGATAGCAGCTGGAAAACAAGAGGGCGGGCTGGGGTGCACCGGGACAGCTGCCATGTTTCCCAATCCGCCTCTACTTTAGCATAGAAGTCCTCTCTGGATGCTCCGATGAAAGGACAGGTGAAGATGACATGAGGAAGGGAGGAGAGATAGATTGAGTGATGAAAGAAGAGAGGGAGGAGGAGGAGACAAAGATGGACAGATAGCAGAAGGATGTCACTAAAAGCAACAAGCGGGTGAGTGGTGCAAGTAGCAGCTGGAAGATGTTTTGGTGAAAGTTCACTGGCCGGACTAGTGAGGATGGACTGCATCTGCATCCTCACGACAAAGGTGAGACACAGGAAGAGAGCAGATAGGAGTAGAGCTGAGGGGAATGGAAGATAAACAAAGTAAACAGTGTAACAGTGTTGACTTGCATCATTGGATACAATTGTCTGTTTTTGATTATTTTGACCCTCATGTTCGCTTTTATTATTTGAATGAGAGTTAACCCTTTAATTTGTACATTTAAATGATGTGTGAATTACTCAGATCATCTTTTAATGAGAACGGTCATCAAGATAGTATGATTTTTAAATCAAAGGAGGATTTAAACGTGTAGTCTTTTAGGGCAAATCTACTTAGGTCATCAAATTGAAGCATTTTACAATCAACCACAGTCTTGGTAAGTGATAGTAACCAAAGTGCTCCTGTCATCACATTCAATTGGTGACAGGTTGCCTATTGTACGAATGGTGTGCTGTGCTTTGTGAAACTAGAAGGTGATATTTTTACAGGAGTGAGCTATGCTCTAGCGAAGCAACTCTAATGGGACTGCCGAGCTGTTGCTCAGCTGTTGGTCTGACAACATGTGATGCCCAGAGAGACAAGAAACTGGGTTGATAGGACACACTTCAAAGGACTAGCTATCTGACTAGCTGGCTGGCTGTGTAGATAACGGACGGATTCGCTGGTTGACTGGAGAGAACTCTTGACACATGTGTGCATACTTAGAAATTCCATGGCCCATTTGAAAGCAGCAGAACCAGTGTGAGCTTGTATAGAACAATGCTTAAAAGACAGGGTATGCTAAGATCGAACATGATTTTACAACATGTCTTTAGATCTCTTTGGATAAAGACAATCACACTAAAGACATTCAGAACTGTCCCGAGTTGAACAAAATACCCTTTCCTAGTGGTAAGTGAAAAGCCAAGAGGGGCAATATGCAATCATTGTTCCAATTAGGGTCAAAGAGCACTCTGTAGGATGGTCTCCCCTTAAGGCTTTCATGATATTTGTGCACATGAAATGGGGCAGAAGTAGTCATGTGAATGACTGTCAAAATATTGAGAGAAAAGTTTGCTTACTTTATCACTTTTGCACACCTGGCCAATGGCTGCGTAATGTTGACTGTTGGTTTTTAGAAAGTCACATACATTTTTGTACGTAGTAAACTTTATTTTGAAATTATAAAGCCATGGGGGAGGGGATTCAGATGCTGTATATTGACTCTACTACCACTTTATTTGAAGATGCAATTAAACTAACTCAAGGAACTAATATCGTATGCGTTTGCTAGAGATACAGCTTATAGTTCTTTGCTGTAAATTCTCATCAGCCATTAGTCTTGTTTAGTGTCTATCAAGTTGCACTTCATCTAACAGACTTTGTTCTTCAATGCTATCTTAAAGGTTAGACCAGAGGGGCCCGACCTGTTTGGTCTGAGGTACCCCCAGAGCTCTGTCAGATGAACTAACGTACCCCTTTTTGAACTCTATATAAACTTTTTACTTCTTCATCGCTTTTTTATTTAAACTTAGTTAAAGTGGACCTATCATGCTATATTTGAATAATATATTGTAGGGCCATACCTATATAAAACATGTCTGCAAAGTTTTTTTTTCAAAACACGAAACAGATCATGCATTTTAGCCATGCCCGATTTTGCTCTATTTGCTCTTTTTTAGCCCTGTTTTTGCAAGGGTTGAATCTGTAAGAAGTCTTCTTCAAGCTTTCATTTGATCAAGTACAAGCTTGATATTGGCACCCTCTGGATCTTGATTCAGACTAAATCTCATTATGTACTCAGTCTTGATTGTGCTTATTCGTGGACTCTACTTAAGTGTTTATATCACATTGTCTGCTTGAAAGACATACACTTCGACCCAGAGGGGATCCGTCCGCATTAGTAAGAAATTCCGCATGGAGCCATTTTGTGACCTCGCTTATAAACTGTCAGGAGCATGAGGAATTTTGTATTGTGCTGGCTAATGCAGGGATTGTCCGATTTTGGCTTCACAAAGAGATAAACTCTCTGTGCAAAGATGTTATTCTATCAGATAAAAGAGTACACTTATGAAAGAAGCTGACTGGTCTCTTAGTTGATAGGGATATATGAAAAGTAGAATGTGCTCGAGGAGTGACACATGCAGACACACTCGCATATACAGTATGCAGACACACACGCACACACCTCACACACACCTCACACACACACAGTTTGCAGTCTGTTGGCAGATACACTAACAGACTGCTGGGTTTCCATCTCACATTCATCTGGTTAATCCCGTTTATCTCATTAAGATAATGGATAAAAAGATCAGAGGGTGTTTCCTGAGCTCAAGACTGCTAGATTACTGCTGGAGGATGTTTCAGTACGTGCTCTCTCAGCCTGATTGATACATTAGTTACTCGAATCTCCCTCTTTGACCCTCTTTTAATCTTTTACCATGTGCATTCTCGGTAAACAGAAAAAAAACCTGTTTTAGAATCAAGACCTTTTTTCACTTAAATATTTCCTATGCTCATAACATGTTCATTTAATTGCATGAACAATAGCATAAAACACTATTCCACATGAACAATCAT